CACATGTTCAAGGAGGACCATCAGCCTAATGATGGATTGTTAGTACCCTGATGGCTGCTTGCCTTCACCGGGGGCTGAGTGATACTAGCAATCACAGCATTGTAAGAGGGGGACAGTTGAACCTGGAGGCCTCCACCTCTGTTTAAAGATGGATGGTTTCTTTTCACAAAGATGGCCTCCTTTACTCCTCTCTCAAACCATCGTTCCTCTCTATCCAGGATGTGAACATCTTCATCCCTGAAAGAGTGACCGCTGGTCTGGAGATGAGTGTAGACCGCAGAGTCTTGGCCTGAAAATGTAGCTCTTGAGTTTAATATAGCTCCTCATATTGAAGAAGTCTTTTGGATGAAAGACAAAACATTTGTATAATTTTTTATTGTTTAAACCCATCCAGAGGACCCAATTTAACTTTGCTAGATTTTTCTAAGTTTAATTTTTGCTTATGATAAACAATGGAGGATATATTTGACATACATTTATGAAGTTGCTACTTATTTTTAAGTGTTCTTTTGATGTAATTGATGTTCATGACCAGATATACTGATTCCTCCTTTGCATTTTTTAGGTTCCTGGAATACAAGGCAGGGCAACAGAATGATGTCACAGTCACATAGCCATCAATTTCATTATTTACGCAGAAAGTGCAGCTCTACAGCCCACAATCACCAAGGCAACAAGCCATCAGTCAAGCCATTGTCCAAGATTTGATCATTGGGTGTTGTCTGCCTCTCTCACTTGTGGAAAACAGTCATTTTAAACACTTTCTTGAAGTTATGGATAGTAAATACACACCAATCTCTAGAAAAACGGTTTCTGATAGACAAATTCCAGAGTTGGTAATCAAGGTCAAGGAAACTGTTTTGGAGAAACTGAAGACCCAGTCATCTGTGTCATTAACAACTGACCTCTGGTCTGATCGCAAGCTACGCTCCTTCCTTGGGGTGACCGCCCACGTGTGCTACAAATCAAAGGATTCCTATGCACTTGAATCCTACCTGCTGGACTGTAGGCGTTTCACAGGCAGACATACTGGAGAGCACATTGCGTCTGCCTTTGAGGAGATCACAGAGGAATACGGTATCCATGACAAAATTAGCTATATCATAACAGACAATGCTGCCAATATGAAATGTGCTTTCAAAGTACACATGCCCCAATCTGATGACAGCGAGAGTGAAGAGGAGCATTTAGATGACGAGCACCTGTGGGAGGACATTAATTCTCAGGAAGACACCGAATTACCCTGGTCATCTGGTGCACGTCTTTCCTGCTTTGCACACTCTCTGCAATTAGTTGTGAATGACGGCATGAAGGAGGTCAAGGCCATTTCTCACACAATAGCCAAAACATCACGGTTCACCACCTTATTGCATAGCAGTTCACAATTCAAAGACAAGTTTGAGGCTACGTTTGGCACTAATAGGACCATTCCAGCTGCAAACACAACTCGATGGAACAGTGTATTTAAACAAGTACAGGCCTTCACAGCTCTGGACCACAAAGCCCTGAATGAAATGTGCAGCAAGGATCACGAGGAGTTGGTGTTTAGTGCCCGTGAGTGGAACCAGCTGAAGGAACTGAGTGCAGTTCTTGCTCCATTTTCTGAGGTAACAGACCTGACAGAAGGGGAGAAATCAGTTACCATTAGTATGGTGGTTCCAACTGTCCTGGACTTGAATACACACCTCCTCAAGATGGAGGACACTCGAATGCAGTGCCAGTCATTGGTCAGAGCCCTCCAGCAGTCTCTGGTGAAAAGGTTTTCTGGAATCTTTTTAAAAACAAGCATGGCCAAAGACAGTGGAAGAGAGGAACCTTTTAACCACAATGTTTACTTCTTGGCCACCATGCTGGATCCTCAGTTTGGCTTAAGCTGGGTGGACTTAGATGTTACCAATGGGGGAAATTCAACATCAGTGAAAAAGTTCAGAGATGAGCTTAAGAAGACACTGACAGGTCAGTATATATTTTCTCTGCTGAAAATAAATGTCTTATTTGCAAAATCATAAATCCTAAAATATTTCAAATTAGTTGTCTATAAAAGCCTTAACTAGTCTTACAGTGGAATTCATAGTCTTCATTTCATCTGTTTACTTTTGTCATAAAAACATATTTTGTACACTCTGAGCCTATTGAAACAGATATTCTTTATATTTAGGCTGGTAACATGCCTATTGTACACAATCCTGACTCACTTTTATATTAAATGGGACTGTACTTATATAGCACCTTTCTATCTTATCAGACACTCAAAGCACTTTACATTACAATCTGTGCCTCATTTACACATTCATACGGCACTCTATTAGATCTCTACAAAGCTAATTGAACAAATCATTCAAAGGAGACTAATCAGAGCTTTATCACATTCATACACTGATGGGACGCACATCGGAGGCCCCTAATAAAAGGTCCTAAACGTATTTAATTCAACTCTGATATGTGCATATCCTTTTAAATCTAACTCAGTCATTGTGTTTGTGTTTTTCAGAAACATTGATCTTAGAGGTGGAGAAGATGATGGACATGAAAGAAGACACCTGCTCAGAAGTTGTGAATGTGGATCCAGCCGCAGCCAGTGATTCGCCACCAAACAAATACCCTCGCCTTCTGTCCCGCTACAAGGCATACAAAAAGCACAGCTCAGACCAGGATTCAAGCATACACACACAGATAAGGAAATACTTTGATGCCATCCGTGACTTTGACACAGACAATGCACTTGTCTTCTGGGCAAAAAACCACACTAGATTTCCACAACTGCACAATTTGGCAATGAAGGTCCTATCAGTCCCTGCCTCCTCTGCACCAGTGGAAAGGGTTTTCAGTCGAGGAGGCATTTTAATGAGACCCCATCGTGCACGTTTAGGCCACAGAATGTTGCAATCACTCATATTTCTTAAATGCAATGAAACAATTCTTTAAACTCCAATAATCAGTTAGTCATCTGGACAGTTTTTTTTTTTTTTTTTTTTTTGTGGAAAGACTGACGTTTTGCCCTCCGGGGGCTGTCCTCTCCCCCGTCGACTCCTTCCAAAATGCAGCCACAGCCAAAGTGGGATTTTTTTGAAGTAGTTATGCATCGGGCAAACTTTGTGTTGCTTTGTATAGCTGCAACGTTGAAATTGATTAGCCTCGTGGTTTTCTTTCTGTAGTAGTTTTTGTTCACATTCCTGGCTGCCTGCAGTGCAGTTATTTCTCTGAAACTTTATGAATATGAATAAGCTACTAAGTTTTCTTGGGTGATTTTTATGATACTGTGTTTTTTTTCTTAATGTGCCTTGGATCATACAATGGAAGATCCCCAAGCAAATACACAAGTCTAAATGAAAATTAAACAATTTTAGAAAGTAACTGACTTCAAGTTTCCAATTTAATCCTAAAGACTGCATTTATACTGCCCAGTATTTCATGTTGACTTCAAGAGACCAAAAGAAGGTAAATGCATCTTGAGTTTTGTTTTATTAGGATCAAAATGGGTCACTTAAATTAGAGTTTAAATAAATTAAAGTAAGCATGCACAAGTTGTGTACAAAAGACATTGCAGTACAAAATTCATTTCACAAACAACACTGTTTAAAAACGTAAAAACATTACTGTCTGGTAAAATCATCAGTTTTGACACATTAAAAAGGCTCATAACTTTATAAAAATATTTTATAATAACATTTTATTTATTTTTTTATTTTATTTGTGGATTTGGTCTCGAATTGGTCTCGCCCTCCCTCGGTCTTGGTCTTGTCTTGGTCTCGGACCCTAAAAGTCTTGGTCTTGTCTTGGTCTCGGACCCTAAAAGTCTTGGTCTTGTCTCGGTCTCGGTACACTCTGGTCTTGACTTGTCTTGGTCTCGGGTTAGGTGGTCTTGACCACAACACTACAACGAAGACAAGATTCAACTTGTCTGCTGGCCTCCTTTAGATAGAGAACTTTACTAATTGGCTTTTATGTATGTGAATGTTTCTGTAATAAGTTTTAACGTTTCTGCATATCGGATATCGGCCAAAAATCCAACATCATGCATCCCATATATATATATATATATATATATATATATATATATATATATATATA